GAACACGTATTTTCATTTTGGCCTATAACTTAAGTAGAAACAATGAACTAAATACTTCCTGAATAAAGAAAGGGGTAGAAGCCGATGTTCACATGATACAAGAATATTAAAAGTGATAATTTTATCGCCGGCCGGGAATTCTAATCCTGCAGTTGTACCATTTGGACAGGTTCAGTGTGCTATATTCCATCATAAAATACTGTTATGTACCAGTCAATTCCAAAACCGCCCATCCCCCACCCCGGGCAATCCCCGCGCATTTGACTCGCGTTAAGCTCCGTACAGTGGGGAATTTGACCCAAAATGAGGCCCGCCCGGTGGGGCATTTGACTTTCGTGTCAAAACGTCTGTCAGCGGTCGGAAACAAAAGGATTTCGCAATTCTTTGATTCAGCACGTGCACCGCGTTCACGGGTCATTGCTCTTGTCGATTCCACGTGGGTTTTTCTGTTGTTGTCGTTTTTATATCGTGGAATATGCCTTTGTTTAAAGTGTGGAGCGAAGACAAGCTGAACAACAAATTCGTAGTGGCTGAAAATTTTGCAGAACTTGTTTCCAAAGGTAAGCGATTCTGTTTATATTCGTTTATTTCATGAGTGCATGGCGTGACAGAAGCTGCATGCCACTGACGAGTGATCTCGCAGATTATATGATAAGTCTTGAGATAGGTTTACTATTTGAAGTAAACTAGACATTACAGAAACAGATTAAAGCAGTATTCTGTTAAAATTAAGATATTTTGAAGACAAAAACACGAAGAGAAAACTCACGTTCTCGAGACACCGCCGCACTAAGCTTTTTCACCGTCGCGACGTGCAGTCGACGTAGGTTGAACAGCTGAGACATATGCAAATTAACCCTAAATCGGGCAACCTTTATTTCCAGTTCCCGTCTTCCACCTTACCGTCCACCCTAAGGCCCTGTTTACAAGGAAGGAGCGGAACCCTGGTGCTAGGGTTACTCTAGCAAGAGGCACTGCAGGCAGGCAGGTAGGGCTACCATAGCGCTAGGGTTACCCTACCTGAGTGCTACGGTCACCCCGGCAAGAGGGTCTGCTGACTTTCCGCCGTCATGCGTGATCAGCAATTGTGCCAATTTGAACGGTATTATCCTATTTTAAACATCTGAAAAATAAAAAGTTATTTTCTGCCTATGATGATAATGTTTTCCCTTTCTTTCGTGAGTTTAACGTGTTTTCCATAGAGAACTTCAAGATTATTTCAACTGTCTTGGACCGTGTTTCGTCATGCGTGACTTTCTTTGTAACGGTCCAAGGTTTCGATTGGTGAACGTCTTGACTAAATACACAAAGAAACTGTCAGGATATATTACTGTGCACTATTGTACTCGCCCGTACTTTGAAAATTTTACTCGTGATCATATATTCCAAATTCCACTCGGAATCATGTGATTACCTCGGGAAAATCATACCGTAGCCTTAGTAATTTCGAAAACGCTCAAGTTGCCCTACGATGACCGAACAGATACAAATTTTATAGCAACCCTTTTTTAATGAATTTCTATAGATCTAAAAGTACTCTGGATAGGTTAAAAGTGTCTTCAATGTATTTAAGAGGAAATCGTCGTTGGGTGCTCCTGAGATTATGATCGAAGGATTGCATGTAGCTTTAGAAACTGCAGGAAGTTATAGTGCATAGTCCCATGTCCATGTTTACCGCCTAGCCAAAAATGAAAACCTTTGCCTAGTAAGGCCTTCTTTACGTCTTTACTTTCCTGCGATATTTTTTTTTTACAACCATGCGGCAAAATGAGGTAACAAAATGATATGTTCAACGTACCTCACCACGTGTCGCTCCAGGCATTCTTTACAAAATCTATGGCCACATCTAGTCAAAACCGGTTCTCGTAAAGCCACATAACAAATTGAACATTGCAGATCTTCGTCAATAGGGTTCACAAAGTCCTCATCATAACCACAGGGCATCTCACTGTTGCCTTCCGCCACCGTTCGAGGCTCATCAACGCGCTAGCACCGTTCTCCAGCTGCTGGCGATCGTTTGCTATTCCAACCGTCCACGTGACGCCTGCGTCACAAGTCAAGTGACATCACTTCCTCCTGTATGCCACTGCTTTTCTGGGGTATTTTAATTGAAAATGATAATAATCATAACAAGGATTGCCGGACGGCGACTTTAACTGGGCGGTCAAAGGAACAATTTTTTTCTGAGGGGAGGGGGCGGTTGTACACACTCGGACTACCATAAAACCTTGTCGCCGACCATTTCGTGACATAGTAACATATTCTCACCCGGAACACCCGCACACAATTCCAAATAAAAGAGCCTAAATGCATAAGATATGGGAGAATCGGTCCTCGGCCCCTACTCCCCAATGACCATGATTCACGGCACCAGTCACTTACGAAGGAAGAAAGGGGGTTTGTGTAGGAAAATATGGAACCTCCTCCCAAAACTCAGAACTCAAGCGCCGACGGAAGGAAAATAAGAGCACCAAACTACACGACATAAAAACTGAGCAACCCATTAGATGTGTATCCGAATATCGAACAAACAAGTAATAGGAATCATGCATTTGCAGTAACGCCGCAACGCATCAATAATTCATTGGAAAGTTAAAGCTCTCGAGAAACACACCAGCCGCATAAATTACCCAAGAGCAAAAAGAACCGCAAAAGAAACCGATAGAGCCGAGATCTCGAGCGGGAAAAATACTTATGATCTTGCCAGTAATGTACAGAACCGCAAATGATCCCC